GCCCCCCCCCCCCACATTATGTTTCTAGCTACGCTTATTTTTTGTATGTATGTGCCGCTTTTATAGCGCTCTTTGGCGCTCTGTGACCCCTAGTCGCCAAAGTCCCCTATCCTCCCAAAGCCCTTCAGGGAGTTGGCAAACCCTCATTTCTTCTAAAATAACCTGTCGCCACCCTTTCACGCTTTTACGCTTATTTTTTAAGATCTAAGTAATAGAATTGATACCTAGTCATATTTCCCAGTAAAATCTTTGATTTTTCTTCCCAAGATCGAAATCAAAGTCCAACTTCTACGAGGCATTTCTCTGATTCTTGCTGATTGCAATTTGTCAATCCCTGTCCCGCAGGTCTTGCTACTACCTGGCGCGCGACGTGGCCTTATTGTGCGCCCTCTCCCTCTCGGCTGACACGTACATTCCCTCCCTCGCGTGGCCGCTTCAATGGGTGGCGTGGCCTATCTACTGGGCCGCGGCGGGGACCGTGGCCTTCGGACTGTGGTTTCACGGCCACGAGTGCATCCACGACGCCTTCAGCAACCACAAGTGGATCAACGATGCGGTCGGATTCGTCGTTTTCACGGGTCTCCTCGTGCCGTATTTCCCGTGGAAGTGCTCGCACATCAAGCACCACGCCAACACGGGCACTCTCGAGAAAGATGAGGCTGTCGTCCCGAAACAGAGGCCCTCGAAAGCTAGGAGGTAAAAGAATACGTCCCAAGTAGCAAAATAGAATTTTTTCCTAGAAAAAAAATACTAAGAAAACTTCTAGAAAATACCAAGAAAATGAGAGTTATCTGGAAGATAGAAAGAAAAACATTGCACGTCAAAAGTCTGACCAAAGAAAATAGATATATTTCAATGGTCTACTTTCTGTCAACTTTCCATTTGGAAAAAAGATAGAAAATTTATTGAAAGTAGAATTATTCTCTAGCCAATTTCGTAATGTTTTTTTTTAAGAAAATGCAAGGAAAAAATGTATTTTCTTTCTATTTTCTTGTGTCTATTTTCTAGATCTATTTTATACCTATTTTCTTTCAAGAAAATTGTTCTATCTAGAAAGTAGACATTTTCTTGATGAGCGCCACCTAGAAAGTAGATGACAATGCTACCTACTTGGGGTGGGTTGACAAGACGCCGGTTAGAAAAAATAGTAACTGGAAATCTGTGTTAGGGTGTTTCGACGAACGCCACTTTTTGTGTCAGAGCAATGTGCGATATATCGCATCGATCCGTTCCATTTTTCAGCTACTTGTCATTTTCCTCGAATTTTGAGATCGCAATTCTGTTGCCAGGAGACCAAAGAATTCACTTACCAATTTTGACAAACAAAGTCAACGTAATAAAGGCGTGGTTCTTTTTAGAGGAAAAATATCGTATTTGATACTGATATTGAAACTGCACTCGAATGCGACATTTTTCCTTTAAAAAAAAAAAACCACGCCTTTATTACGTTGAATTTGTTCGTGAAAATTGGTGAGTTCTTTAGTCTCCTGACAACAGAATTGCGATCTCAAAATTTGAGAAAAATGACGCGTAGCTAAGCAAATTGAACTAATTGATGCGATATATCGCATACCGTTGTGACACAAAATATGGCGCCCATCGAATTATCATAATATGGGAAGTAGAACAAAAGGGGGTTGGGTCGCGTAGCGGCCATGGGGCATGGTCCCCACGTACAGACGTACCGACCGTTCGTGACTTAAAGGCCGGAAGTCTCGAGTGCTGGACTGCCGCGGCCGTGCTATAAAGAAGAACGCCGTATGAACATTCGAGAGTTGCCAAATTTCCTTTGATAAGACATATTTATTGACACAATTTAAGCATAATTTTCCTAGACATTTTCAGAAATTTTAGATTAAGTTGCGAACAAAATTTTATGAAAGTTTTGGAAAATAATATTCACAAATTTCCCAGTAAATTCGGTTTTTATCGGAGGAAACTTGGCAACGTCTGAAGGCTCATACGGCATTTTTCTTTAGCACGGCAGTGGAGCCATAAATTCGACTGCTCGGAGTACTACACCTGGAACTTTCGACGTCTGAGTCCCGCACGACGACGATCCCAAGTGGTATTTTTCAACGGAAAAATCGCAATATTTTGAAATTAAATTGGGATTTTTTTTACACTTTTTGGCGATAAAATCGCTAGCACCATCAACATCTGAGAGATGATCCTCGATCTTGTCGAAATTTTATATTTTCTGAAAATCGCGTTCTAGAAAATCGGAATTTCATCTCAATTTATCACGATTTTTTGTTCGATAATATTTCGATAAATCACCGTCGATTCAATTGGGAGTTTATCACAGATATATGTGATGAAATCACAATTTATCGCAATTTTTTTTATGATAATATTGCAATAATTGACGTCCGAAAATCGTGATGCATTTTCCGATCAAATCGCAACTTACTGCGACCACTGCTTCTTGGAGTATGCCTCTATACTGCCGTGCTAAGGAAAAATGCCGCATAAGCATTCAAGAGTTGCCAAATTTTCTCCGATAAAATGTTTATTTTTAAGAAAAGTTATGATCTTTTATCTTTGAAATTTTCAGAAGCGTTAGAAGGAATTGCGAACTAAATCATCTGAAAAATTGGAAGGAAAATATTCATAAGTTCATAAAGAAAATCTTGTTTTAATGAAGGAAATTTGACCACAGGCGGTTCTAGACCTTCATGTTTGGGGGTGCCCAGAGGTGGAAAATGTCGGAGACCGGCCCCAAAGGGGACGGTCGCTCAGGGGAGGCCTAATTTCCGGCCCTCAAGTTTTATCCCATTCCCACCCTCCTTTCTCTTTTTCTCTCCTTTCTTTCTACTTAAATACTTATAAATTCAACGTAGAAAATTTTTAGCAAAACTTTTCACCAAAACTGCATTCTTACCATAAAAAAAAAAACAGTATAATCTTTGTTAAACACGGCTATCAATATTAATTCTGTTTAAAACATTTTCAATTAATTGCTGGGATTTTTTTTAGTGTGAGCGAATACAGAATCTTTAAAAGCAGTAATTTGGTCTTTTTTAGATCAATTTTCAGATTTAAAAAATTCATGAAATAAAAATATTGCCAATTTTTCACGCTTCATAATACGATTTTTTCTTGACGTGTTTACTTGCCCAAAAGCCTCTTTCACGGTTCCAGTAACCGTGCTTAATTTTTGCTTGGGGGCGCCCGGCACCCACTGGCACCCCCGTAGACCCGCGTATGAATTTGACTACATCTGAAGGTTCATACGGCGTTCTTCCTTACCCTGGTAAAAATTGGCGATAAGACCTACGTTTCAAAATACCATAGGAATTCTTATACGGCCGGGCTATACGAAGCGATAAAAAATTATGCAGCTGGGCTATAGTTCCTATAGTCGGGCTTTACATACTTTCTCGCCTGGCTGTTGCTTTTTCGCCATCGATTATAAAAGGCTATAAGAAATTGTGTAGAAATTCGTGTGCTTTGGAAATCATTAAGTTTGATACGGAATCACCTTAATATTTACAAAACACACGTTATATTTTCCTTTAATACATATTTTTTTCATCAATTAAAACGAGAATAATCCATACAGGATGTGCAAACATTTCAAAATCATGAGTTGAATAACGCTGACTCCGCCAGATTAAATATTAGAGCCTAACACAAAGCGGAGCGGCGACGCACTGGCGCCTACAAACCTAGCAGGGATACTTCACGCATTGCGCAACGCGTGAAGTATCCCTGTTAGGTTTGTAGGCGCCAATGCGCGTTTGCCCGCCTGCCGCGCCGCAGCGTGCCACGGCGCTTGAAGCAACTATTTCACACATGAGGTATTGCACAGTATCATACGAAACTGAAGGCGCTCTAATATATTAGGAATGGCAGGCATCCATCAAAAGTACGGAGCTTTCCTCGCAAAATAAATCAAGATACTACGGCCCAAAAAGAGAGCAGTGGTCCAAAAACTCACAAAGTCCTAGCATCCGTAATTAGTGACGTTTAGCATACACTCTATCGCCTGGCTGTGAATTGCTTAATCGCCATCGGCTATAAAAGGCTAAAAGAAATTGTGTAGCCGGCTATAGAAGCTATTGGAAATCTTACAGCCGGCCGTAGGTCTATGGTATTTTGGAACACAGATTCTACTGCCGATTTTTACTAGGGTAGCACGGCTCCCACGGCCAGATTTTTTTTTGTTCGCGTCCAAAATATTGAAAAGCCCCCTTTTTATTTTCAAGGTTCCTGAACAACCGCTTGGGCCGGATTCTCATCATGGGGCTGATGTTGACGATAGGGTACCCGGTATACTTACTGTTCCACATCACAGGACGCCGCTACCCTCAACGGAACAACCACTTCTGGCCGTTCAGCCCTATGATCCCGCGACGCATGCGCCTCTGGGTACTCTTGTCCGACACCGGAGTGCTCGCCGTGCTAGTTGCACTCGCCTGGCTAGTGAACGTGCACGGCGTCGCTTGGTTGGCCATTCGCTATTGGGCCCCGTACATGGTCGTCAACGCTTGGCTAGTTGCCTCCACGCTCAATCATGCTCACCCGGCACTGGCGCACTATGACGAGGTCAGTCTTAATCTAATTAGAAATCCCTCCTCTTCGGCTGCTTTGAGGCCCAACCCCTGACAGTTTCGTCCTCAGATTCGGGGAAAAAATTAAAAAAGAGGCCAGATTATGCCCTCCTATCTTTGACTGTGTTGTTCACGTAGCCTTTGAAGCACTTATATAAATAAGGCAAACGAAAACAAATACAACATGGAGCAAAGAAAATGACGCGCGTTGATGACGGCGCAGAGATACAACTATTCGTGCTTGATGGGTGTCCGTGTTGCATCTGCAAAATTGAAGGCGCGATGGCGTGAGGCGTGAACTCGCGATCGCAATAATACACTCTACATTGCCAGTGAGGTGTCAGTCAGATTCGGGAGATAAATTAAAAAAGAGGCCAAAATATGTCCCTTCTATCTTCGGCTGTGTTGTTCACGTAGCCTTTAAAGCACTTTTGTAAATAAGGCTAACGACAACAAACACAACACGGAGCAAAGAAAATGACGCGCGTTGATGACGGCGCAGAGATACGACTATTCATGCTTGATGGGTGTCCGTGTTGCATCTGCAAAATTGAAGGCGCGATGGCGTGAGGCGTGAAGTCGCAATACTCCGCTCTACGCTGCCAATTCGTCGCTCAGATTCGGGAGAAAAACGAACGGCGGAAAAACGAGGCGCGAGTACAAACCTCCTATCTCCGATTGTGTTGGCACTCGATTTTTCTCTGCTTTTCAATTTGGTGTTTGGTTCTTTTTGACCCAGATCCTGAGCATGCATTTACCGGCCCCATAAAACTCGCGAGACACGTTTTCGTCCTTCTGCCGTGCTAAGGAAAAACGCCGTATGAACATTCGAGAGTTGCCAAGTTTCTTTCCCAAGTTTTTTGCCACTTTTGGATTGTAGGCAAAATCATAATTAGTTGCATTACTTTTTTTTTCTTCAAAATTTTGATGGTTTTGACCTGAATTCCAGGACACGTGGGACTGGCTCCTAGGGACGCTGACCTGCACGATGGACCGTGATTTCGGGCCGCTGCTCAACTGGGTGTTTCACGATGGCCTCAATTTCCACATGGTGCACCACGTGTTCCCGCGGATCCCGCACTACCACTTGCGCGAGGCGACGGAGGCGCTGAAACCCGTGCTCGGCGAGTACTACCACAGCGACGCCACACCCCCGCATCGAGCCCTCTACCAAGTCGTCAAGGAGTGCGTTTTCGTCCGCGAGGACGTCGACCAGAAAGGGGTCTACTGGTACGAGGGACTCTTCGACATGTAGTGAGAATTATAGTCCCTTTATACTGAGAGTCAAGACAATGTGAATCCATTTATGATTGGTTCCCGTATTTAAGGCCTTCACAGTGTCACAAACGGCAATAAAGAATACATTTTCACCGATTGCAAAGATTATAATCTGGAACGGACCAGGGAATGGAGATGTTGCATGTGTGAGGAATTTGCGATTTGACTGTTGATTCTTATGTAAAAGATCGCGAGAAACACGATGGTGCCACTGGTTTTCTCTGAAATCAACTCTAAAGCTCAAAAAAAGCTCTCAAGTTGAGGCCAAAATGGAGGGGATATCCCAAGCTATTCTGAGAGTCCCCCTCTACATCAAGACAAACTCTCCATGCAAAGACAGGGAGCAAATACATTGACAGGGCTGTTGATTTCAGAGAAAACCAGTGGCACCATCGTGTTTCTCGCGAACTTTTCCATTCAAATCGCAAATTCCTCACTCATGCAACATCTCCATTACGGGTTTGGCAAGGAGCAAACGGGATGAGAGAAGGAACGGAGAAAGGAATTTGAGAATGGGCCGATCAAAGATTACGAAAAACGTTCAATTTCTGTAATCTTTATTCCCGTTTGTGACTCCATGAGGGGGTGTTGTCTTGACTCTCAGTATAAAGGGACTCTAGTGAGAATGTGGCTACCTATAGAGATCATGACCAATCCGACGGAGAGTGGAATAGCCTGTGTCACACTATCAATGTTAGCCATCAAAATATCAAGGCCGGGTGTTGTGATTGGCTAATTCGATGACTTGGACCAATCACAGCACTTGACCTTGAAATTTTGATGGAGTATTTTGATATGTAGTGTGACACAGGCTAATAAGAATGGTTTTGGAGATTACAAACTAACGTGAGTCAGTGGCGTGGCGTGAATGATCAACTATCGATATCTCTCCGTTTGAAGCTATGGTAAAGAATCGATTATTAAGGTGTTCGTTGCCAACACCCTGTTTATCGATCCTTTTCCATTGGTTTGATCAATTGATACATCGCAAAACACGCCACGCCACTGATGTGAGTTAGGAGGGTGGAGGAAAAACTGCAGCGCAAAACTTTAAAAATGTGCTATCTTTGGACAGTTTTCTCCGTTTTAACCCATTCACCCAAAAAGCAGTGATCGCGATAAGTTGTGATTTAATTGGAGAATGTAACGTGATTTTGGCAACGTCAGTTTATTGCTAAAATATCGGATGATTGCGATTAATTGCGATTTCATCGCATAAATTTGCAATAAAACCGCGATTTCATCTACGGCGATTTATCGCAACATTGTCGAACAAAAAATCTTGATAAATTCTGATAAAATTTCGATATTATCGAACGCAATTTTACAGAGATAACATTGTGACAAGATTAAGGATAATCGCTCAGATGTTGATGATCTTAGCGATTTTTTCGCCAAAAAAAATTGTAAAAGAATCTCAACTTAATTTCCAAATATTGCGGTTTTTTCGTTGAAGAATGCTACGTACTTAGGCAACTTTTATGAATTTTACGCCTGTTTTCCATTTCAAATTTATTGTTGAACTATAGTTTACTGTGACGAAATTAGGGAAATGAGGATTTCTGGGAGCAGCAAAAAGTGAAAAAAACCAGCGACCATTATCGAGCGGTTTTAAAAAAGAGGGGCGCAAAATGAAATTAAATCTTTCCTCATCTCGATGGATATGCAGTTTAAGCTACATTATGGTTGGAACATTCGCATCATTCTTTCTGATAGCATTTCATACATATAGAATGTTTGACATTGGAAATTGAGTGCTGCGAAATGCATTAATGTATTTCCTTCCATGATCAAAGGAGTAAGTTAAGGTGTTGATATTATGTCGCTTAAAAATCTGAAAACTAGGTCATTATTGTGTACGCGCCTTACATTTTCTAAAAATTGTTATTAAGTTTCGAATGAAAGAGTAAGAAGGTTATTTGAACAAAATAAAATTGTTAATCCTCCCAATGTTTCGATGTCCTTTTTTTTTCTCAGTCACAGAATATCCTTACCCGCTCATCCTGTATATGGACGTGGAAATCAATTCTAAACTGTCGTTTTTGAAGGAAAGCATAACAATTTCGTTTTCCGAGGATGATTGCCAATAATTCATTCTCACATTACACTTGGAGGACAATTTTACGTTAGAAATACAGTGAATTTCTAGGTCACTTCAACGAAGTTATGCTCAATTTATTCTGAATTATTTATTAACATCTCATAATTTCTCCTGGTCTATTCCATATTACGTTAAAAAAAAAAACCTTGAACTATTTGGACACTAAACTTACTAAAACTAAAGGTTTTTTATTTTACTTTTTAAAAAAAATTTTCACCAATCATCATATCAGCTCTATAAAATTATCGGCTTTTTCCAAGTTTTCATAAATATTTCATGAGGATCAATGCTACTGAATCATCTTCTGAGTTTCTAAAGGGGTATAATCGTAATTCCTCAAAGGATAAAATACCCTCAATATATTAACGTCGAAAAACGGAAAAAGAAAGGAAAAGAAGGAAAGAGAACCAGGAGAGAAATTTAATATACTTATGCAAAGCTTTGTTGCCAATTTAAGAGGAATTTTCCGAATTTGATATAGCTGGTGTAAGACAGAAAAATCGCTCCACGCATAATTCTGCGAAATTCTTAAAGCTGTGTTTATGAAAAATACGGAACATTCATTTCAAGGGTCGGGTGATTGCAAGTACGCAGCCCACGCTAATAACATCAAAAATGCTACAATGTTGCTTTTCTTTACATTTTATTTTCAATTTTACATTTTATTCTTGTGTGAAACTTAAAAGAAAGTACAAGGACGCAAGAAAAAAGGACTGGAGCAAAACGACTTCTCCGAACAAAATTGACAGAATTTCAAACACTCTGTATCGTCGGGCTGATTATGTGCAATCCGGTTTTCATACTTGTACATTTGAACATCTTTTAGAATGGACCACTAGACAAGGTACGAATTTCAGCATTCTGATACATGTTTCCCAGTCAAAATTTCACGTAGAGTACGATTCGCACAACGAAAGCTGACGAAGATATTAAAGTTTTCATTTCACATTGGTTACGAGGAATTTGAACTGCCCGCTCACAAGAAACTCAAAGCTCTACGTGAGTCAAATCGCGCACTACAACGGTTGCAGTAAGCTTCTCAGTCGAGCAATGTTCATGTCTCACCATGTGTTGTTCAAACTATAAGCAATTTGCTTTAGCTGAGCCAAAGCGTCAAGGTTGAGGTTGCCACATTTGTATATCGTAGAGACTGTCATGATAACGTTTAGCGCGCGATGTGAATCACGTAGAGCATTGAGTTTTCATGAGCGGGTGGTTTGAATTCACACATTAAGAATCATTAGATATCTTCGTAAGAAGTAAATTCCGTTATGTGCATCGTGTTCTACGTGAAATTGCGGTTAAGGAACATGTATCAGAGCTGAAATTCGTCCCGTATCTGGTGGTCCATTCTGTACGTGAGATCGCTCGATTTCAAAATTTAATGAGATGTTTTCACCCTAGAGCGCACCCCCTCGATTGCTGACTCCAGGGCCGGATTAAGGGGGTGGCCACATGGGCCGCGGCCTATGGCGGGAAATCTAAGGGGCGGCAAAAATTTGCAATTTTGTAAGTGTAGATATAAAAAATATCGGATTTATAAAAACAAAATTACAAACGAGAAAAGGCGACAAAATCTCTCATTTCCTGAGAGTATAGTAATTTCTAATTTTGTCGTCTCTTAGTCATACAAGAGACGGCACCCTCAATAAGCCGAGTTACGAGAGAAACCAAACACGCAATTTGGCCTGGAACGGCGTGACTTAGAGAGAAATGATAACGAGGACTTGAGATGAAAAGGAGAAGCCCTCGGCGCGGCGATCGGCATGTAACTTATATTAGCGCCTACAAGACTGCACGAATATTTCACGCATTGCGTCCAACACAGTGCGGTCATTGCGGTCAGCGTGAAACGGCTAGCGCCTACAAGAATGCATGAATACTTCACGCATTACGCCAAACACAGTGCGGTCAGCATGAAACGCATAGCGCCTACAAGACTGTGTGAATACTTCACGCATTGCGTCCAACGGTCCGTCCGGTGCGGTCTACGCGGCGCGGCGGCGGAAGTTAAAATCATTGAACCACATTTATGTTTGTTCTTTCATAATTTTTTCGTTCATTTCTCATGAATGGAAGGCCTTGTCCACACAGAGATAGGTTTACGGAACTTAACTTTCGCGCAAAGTTAAGAACTTTTGCTAGTAGTGTTGACAGGGCTTTCCCAAAAAATGTGTTCAACAAGAGTAAATGCGTCTTATGCACCCCCCCCCCCCCCCGCTNCCCCCCCCCCCCTCCGCTGGCACGTTCATTTAATGGTTTCTATCGAGTTTCAAAATGAATGAGAAGGGGGCGGCAAAATATAGGCGGCCCATGGGCGGCAAGTAGGTGAATCCGGCCCTGGCTGACTCCGCGAAATTTTACACGCCTTAGAAGCATTGGCGACTGAGAAACGACTCCTCGGCTCCATTTTTTCATCAGAATATCTCCAGATACTTCCTTGCGAAATGTTTAGAGAATGTTCTTAAAACGGTAACAAAGAGGCCGTTTATAAATTGCGTAACGCTCTTNAGCACATCCAATCCGAACTCGAAATCGTCCATTTATTAATCACCCGAACAATTTTTGAGCGTCTTTCGGATGATTATTGATGATTTCACGAAAAGCGGAGGATTAGTTGACGGAATATTCTAATACTCCGCTCAGGCGCTTGGGTCTATCATTTCCTCAAGACTTCTTTTTTGCATTCACGGCTCCCCTCTCGCTCTCGGTAAAACAGTATCACGGCATCATTGCGTGAGCTGGCGAGGAGGCCTTGACCGACACCTGTCCAATTTCGAACGGGCGATCTTATTGCTTATTGATTAATGTAAAATAGATTCAAAACCATTTTCACATCGCTCGGATTGAGTTTAACCTGAAGAACAGGCAAAACG